ATATATATAAATATATATACATATACATATACATATACATATATGTATATGTATATATATATATGTATATGTACATATATATATACATATATATATATATATATATTATGTATATACACAGTGACATATATATGTCAAATCTATGGACAAATCAGCCCACAGAATTAATTTTTGGAAAGAGTAAATTATTGAAATGATTAACAATTATTGGAGGAAGGATCCCGTGAAGAAAGTCCGACCGGATTGCAGGAAAAGGAGACACCTTTGGGGAAATCGACCTATGGTGATCGCACAATGCTGTCATCCTTTGGCCCTCCTCTTGATTCCTTCGGGAATTATGATGCAGGGGTGTCAGGAACCAAGTTCCAGATGACTCTCGCCGTGCTCCTCGAGAAGAGCGGAGTCACCCCCACGGCGATTTACGGGGATCTGGACGCCTTGATCACTGGAGTTCAGGACGACTCTAGGGAGGTCTGCCAGGGGGATCTCTTCATCTCCTGTGTCGGGTCGAAGACGGATGGCCACTTGTATCTTACCGAGGCTTGTAACCGAGGAGCTGTAGCACTGGTGGTAGGCGAAGAGAGTGTTAAAGATCAAATCTTGCGCTGCGGCTGCAAGGCTGTTGTCGTAGTGAATGCTACCGATTCTGCGCTGCCTGTTATTGCTGCTACATTCTATGGGCATCCGTCGAGGAGCCTCTTTGCGGTCGGTGTCACGGGAACGAACGGTAAGACGACGACGACCAATTTGATTAGATCTATCTTCGAGACAATGGGGTACGGAACAGGGCTGTTTGGCACCGTATGCTTCTTCATTAATGGAGATGAGATGCTGGAAGCTTCCCGAACGACCCCCGACGCCGTGCCAGCCCAGAGACTGATGGCGAAGATGGTTCGCTCTGGTACCAAGGCACTCGTCATGGAGACTTCTTCCGAGGGACTGGAGCAGGTGAGGTGCAATGAGCTAGACTTCAACGTAGCAGTCTTCACGAACCTCACCAGGGACCACCTCGACTTCCATGGGACCATGGAGGCGTACAAGAAGAGCAAAGGCAAGCTTTTTGCGAACATGGTCGACCCCAACAGGCACAGGAAGGTTGTGAACATCGATGACCCAAATGCTCCATACTTCATCGATCAAGGGAATGCAGACGTTCGACTCGTTACATTTGGAATGCAGAACAAGAACGCCGACGTCTACCCTCTAAAGTCCGAGCTTTCATTGTTCAAGACTAGGGTTTGGGTGAGCACGCCAAAGGGGGCACTGGAGATCAACTCAGGGATGCTTGGGAGGTATAACATCTACAACATCCCCGTTGCTGGTTGTTTAGGAGTTTGTTGTAATTCATGAACTACTTGATTTATTAGAATATTGTCAGCAACTTGTGGAATCGCGATGATTGATTGTTCAACATCAGTTTGTATTTGAATAATGCTATGAACTATAACCAATCTATCATTTGATGTGGAAGGTTACGATTCTCTATGATCATGTGCAGAAACTATATTCCTAAATTGATCGCTTTCACCGATCATGTCATCCTCAAGAAATTTAGTATTTCTTGATTCCACAATCCTAGTTGTGTGAGATGGACAATAGAACCTGTAACATTTGGACTTTACGACATATGCAATGAAATATCCACTAATAGTCCTCGGGTCCAATTTCTTCTCTTGTGAATTATATATCCTAACCTCAAAAAGACATCCCCAAATGCATATATGTTTCAAACTCGGTTTTCAACCTTTCTATAATTCAAATGATGTCTTTAGGACAACCTTAATTGGAACTCGATTTAATATATATATATATATATATATATATATATATATATATAGTCGTCTTTAGTACTTTAGTTCATAAGAACTTAAGAAGATTGGAGTTGCTAGGTATACTTCGCACTATGTCTAATAATGTATGGAAAACCAAGCATAGTGTATTGGGCAACAATCACATATTCTTGAAGAAACTTAGCAAAAGAACTAGATGCTTGTCCATTTTCAGTATATCTACTATAATATTATTCGTCTCTATCTAATCTCATAATTTTAATTTACTTATCACATTGGTTCTCAACTTCAGTCTTAAAGACTTTGAAGGCATCCAATGCTTCATTTTTGTTATGAAGCAAATAGATATACATATATCGTAAGTAATCATCTATAAAGGAGATGAAGAATTTCTAACTATGTGTGCCCATGTCTGGACAACATATATCAGTATGAATGATCTCTAATATGTATAAACTCCTATTATCACATTTCTTGGACTTGTTGGTCTGCTTCCCTTAATACAGTCCACACAAGTTTTAAAATTAGTAAAATAAAGAGTACTAAATATCCCATCATTAACTAATCTCTTAATTCTCTTTATGGAGATATGTCCTAATCTCTGGTGTCATAATATAGAGGAGTCCTCATTAATATTACACCTTTTAGTGCTAGCATGAACATGTATTGAATTTTGAGTGTCATCATTTTGTAAGAAAATACGATAAAGACCATCAGATAAAATATCTTTCCCAACATAATCAGATTTATATAATAAACGACATGATGTATCTTGAAGATTAAAGAAATATTCAACTAGTACGACTTTGGAAACAAAAAATAAGTTTCGTGAGAAACTTGATACATAAAAGGTCTTTTCTAATTTTAAAATAAAAAAATTACTTAAAGTTAAAATACATATTTCAATTGCTTCAACATGTAAGCCTATCTTATTACCTGATAATATGCTTTGCTCACTTTCCACTAGCTTTCTTAGGGTTTGCATACCCTACAAAGAGCTTACAATATGGATTGTTGATCCAGAGTAAATCCACCAAGTGTTAATATTAATATTAACCAAATTAGATTTATAACATACAAAAAAAGGTTGGTTTATCTTTTTTTTCAAGCCATTGTTGGAATTTCGTTTATTCCTTCTTCATTTGTCCCTTCTTTTTATAGAAGAAATACTTTGCTTCTTTCTTGATATCAGCTTAAGTTGTTTTTTTCCTTTTCCCTACTGATGAGCTTTCTAGTTGACTTGATTTTTGTCAATTTTATTCTTCCCGTGAGTGGTTGCCATTAATGCACTCTCACCCAGCTCCATCACTAGCCTCTCTTCTTTTTGAACACACATGATCATTAATTCATTGATTGATTATTTATCCTTATGTGTATTGTATGAAATCTTAAATATCCATATTTATGTGTAAGAGTGTTCAGAATATAGTGCACTAGGAAGAATTCTAACATATTAACTGTAGGAAAATCTTGGGGGCGACATTACATGCGCAGTGGAAGAACATAAAACAAAATCCTCAATTCCCAAAGATATATTCGTCATCGTGCGAAGATTAGTGTGCAAAAATTCATAAAATAGAAAATCATGTGTGAGATAGATTGTGTTACCTACAGAGATCATATATCCCTGAATCCCTACAGATCTCTAAGAGAGGGTGAAGGAGGTCAAGCGCCCTTCTCTCTAACGACGATCCACACAGCAGAGCTGCAATGATGCTCCTTAAAACTTCAGGAGAAGTGGAGGAGAATAAGATAAGACAACCAAAAATGTTCTAGCCTATGAACCACTAGTTCTCTCCTATTTATAGAGATCCCCTACAACTTAACCATAATGGATCATTCCTTATTGGATATTAGATCTTCATTTAACTATCCAAGCCTATTAGATTAGTGGATCTTTATCCAATAATCTCTCATGGGCTCTTAGTGGATCTTATCCAGAGGATCCAATAATTCAGGGGCTTATTGGATATCCAATAAGATAGGGGCTCCGATGGATATCTCATATCTGAACCTTTACTCATCTCAATGCCTACCATATGTGTGTGACCCTCTAGGGCCAATATCGAGCTGGTTGTGAGTCATACCTGTTAGAACTTCTTCTGGCTTAGTGAATTATTATATTCATAATAATTCACTCAACTCATCGATTGCGGACGTACTAGGTCACTACGTCATAATCCCCAGACGATATAAGGGAATCCAATCTATTGGACATGCCTATCCTCAGTTACCGTATACCTATAGTCTCTCATACATCTAATATTCCAAAGACCGTATACCGAGCATGGTGCTGTCTTTCCTAATAGCATAATCAATATACATCTACCCTAAATAGAAGAGAATCCTCTCTATCCATATCTTATAGTTATCACCCTTATGTTTAGGAATATCACATCGAATATAAAAAAAATTAACAGTTTGAGAAACTATATAAAATCAAACATATTTATATCAAAATTTGAGGTTTAATAGTTTAAATTACATATTTTACCAATGTGAAATATGCCAAAAGATAAATCTCATGATATAAAAATTGCTTATAGGTTAAATATTTAATTTAAATAGATTTAAATAAATTTTAAGATAAAATTATCAAATTATATTCCAATTCATAATCCTTGTGGGTAAATTATAAAAATAATATAATATTTTATCCTGATTAATTATATGAATATAATAAAAGATCCTATGTGATAATAATTATTATATTAAATATAATCATTAATAATATTATGTCTAATTACTTA